CCTCAGTGATCGCAACGAAGAGGTCCAACAAAGTCTGCAGAATCTCCGCATCTCAAGCAAAGGACAAGCCTCGAGCTCAAATCCAAAACCACGAAACGCTGATCAGATTTGTGTATATAAGGAGGCAGATGGCACACGAAGCCTGTGTATGGTTGTTGAATACAAACCATCTCATAAGCTGTCGGTCTTCAATCTACGGGCTGGGCTTTTGCGAGCTGACGAAGGGTCTATGAATATTCCCGAGGAAGTCATCAATCGGGTCACAATACCGACTGATCCAGAGGCCAAGTTTGTGTACCACTCTGAGTGGCTGACGGCAGCAGCTCTATCGCAAACGTATACATACATGATTGAAAACGGGCTCAAATATAGCAAATTGGGTACGGGAGAAGCCGATGTTTTCCTTCTCATCAAGGAGGAAGAACCACATACGCTCTACTATCACCTCGCAGAACCCAACATCGAAGCCGAAGCGCAGAGTGAGGTCGATACTGTACTCTGTCGCACGGCAGTGAGCCAGACCCTAACCTTCTCCCTAATGGCACTGGACTCGAAGCCTCGCAACCAAAAATGGCGAAATCATACGCTAGAGACTGCTTGTAGGGCTGTGATCGATCACGAGACCATCTTACAACAGATACCCGCTGAAGAGAAGACGTTGACTCCTCCGCCCTCGGTCTTTCATGCACGAATCTATCCTTTCGAGCGGTCGCCGATCATGCTAAGACCCAGAAAGTTACGGAAGGCAAGGAATAGCTGTGGCTCTGTAAACATAATTGTACACGAAGATCCACAGAGTCCGTCTGGCTCATCGGATGAGACCTCAGACATTGAAACTCCAAGCAAGCAAAGGGCTCATACGCACCAGTCTAATGTCGGTCAGGTGCGTCCCGTCAGAAAATCACAGGCAGCCGAAGAGAGCGATGTCTGCCACCGCCAATACTGCACACAAGCCTGCTTGTTAGGGCTTGTGCGAAAACGTCCCTTGGACGATGCTTGTCCGAATGTCAATGCACATCGTGCTCATAAGACTGGCAACTACCATGCTTTAGAGCAGAAATCCCTTATCAAACTTATGTCCCGCCAACTCGCCGAAAACCCCGACAATGGGTGTGAGCCACTTGGAAAACAAGGCGCCTGTGGGGCTCTGTTCAGACTGACGCTTGAATGGTATGGATATACTTTCGTTGCCAAAGGGACTGTGACGGCATTCGAGGCTAAGTTGAAGCACGAAGGGTTGGTCTACCAACACCTGAACGAAGTTCAAGGAGAGCTTATACCCGTCTACCTTGGGAACATCTCTCTCGTCTGCCCCTACTTTCTGGACGTTGGAGTTAGAATAGTTCACATGCTACTAATGTCATGGGCAGGCGAGCAGGCACGCAACGATTCGATGTTAGCCATGGGACGGGATTTGGCTACGGAAACAAACAGGGCAGTTACAAAGATGTTAGATTGCGGAGTAGAGCATCGCGATGTGCGACCGCCGAATATTCTATGGAATTCTGAAGGTCGAAAGGTGATACTGGTGGATTTTGAGCGTTCAGAGATTTTCTCGGTCTTTCATGCACGAATCTATCCTTTCGAGCGGTCGCCGATCATGCTAAGACCCAGAAAGTTACGGAAGGCAAGGAATAGCTGTGGCTCTGTAAACATAATTGTACACGAAGATCCACAGAGTCCGTCTGGCTCATCGGATGAGACCTCAGACATTGAAACTCCAAGCAAGCAAAGGGCTCATACGCACCAGTCTAATGTCGGTCAGGTGCGTCCCGTCAGAAAATCACAGGCAGCCGAAGAGAGCGATGTCTGCCACCGCCAATACTGCACACAAGCCTGCTTGTTAGGGCTTGTGCGAAAACGTCCCTTGGACGATGCTTGTCCGAATGTCAATGCACATCGTGCTCATAAGACTGGCAACTACCATGCTTTAGAGCAGAAATCCCTTATCAAACTTATGTCCCGCCAACTCGCCGAAAACCCCGACAATGGGTGTGAGCCACTTGGAAAACAAGGCGCCTGTGGGGCTCTGTTCAGACTGACGCTTGAATGGTATGGATATACTTTCGTTGCCAAAGGGACTGTGACGGCATTCGAGGCTAAGTTGAAGCACGAAGGGTTGGTCTACCAACACCTGAACGAAGTTCAAGGAGAGCTTATACCCGTCTACCTTGGGAACATCTCTCTCGTCTGCCCCTACTTTCTGGACGTTGGAGTTAGAATAGTTCACATGCTACTAATGTCATGGGCAGGCGAGCAGGCACGCAACGATTCGATGTTAGCCATGGGACGGGATTTGGCTACGGAAACAAACAGGGCAGTTACAAAGATGTTAGATTGCGGAGTAGAGCATCGCGATGTGCGACCGCCGAATATTCTATGGAATTCTGAAGGTCGAAAGGTGATACTGGTGGATTTTGAGCGTTCAGAGATTTTGAAGCAGATGCCGATTCTCCAGGAGATATCGCCTAATCGGAAGCGGAAGCATCTGTACCTCGCCGATACGGCATCGTGTAGTAGCCAACATCACCACCAGCGTTTCATTAGTGCTGTTACATGACCGTATTGGCTTATGTACAAGCAATATTTCCCACATAGAAAGAATTCATAATCAGCCACTACTCCTGTAGCCTTCCTTCTGGGTGTATTCAAGTAATAGCGTACTATGCGTGGCCTGTTGTTTTAGAACTCTTAAATAAGATATATTCTTAGATAGCTCTACTTGAAATAGTATCTAATTACCTTCTAAGCCCTGGTTTCTAAGCATCGCAAGCTCTTGTGAGAAAAATCAACCATAATTCAGGCGTGCTACGAATTATTTCCCGGCAGTACAGATTCGGGAAGGCGGTGAGGAAATATTTGGAGGGCCACGAATTATTTCCTCCTAGAGCGCATTGCTCATCCTCTCTGAACATTCTCTACCTATACTTTAGATCCCTGCCAAGGCGGACTGCTGTGACGACTCACATCCTATGACTCCTTCTATGACTGATAAAGCGTGAATCACGTATAAAGTGATATCACTTTATACTCAATTTAGAAAATACCGGGCATCTGCTTTAAGATTTCTGAACGCAATTCTGCCGGCCGACCGCTTTTCCTTTGGATTTTAAATGCTTTCCCGTCAGTCCTCTAAGACAGGGAGATATTAGGAAGATTATCGACCAGTCGTTAGTAGACTAAAGGAACTAGACCACCGAATCCCGGCAATTGCTGATAACTCGGTGTTGGAAGCCGCTCCCTGCGTGTTTCGCTGTGATCCTGTAAAAGGTAAGGCCAAGATAGGTAAAAGCTTAATAACCGTATCCCCAAAATCAATTTAAAGCACATACTTATTGTTGGAATATAGCACTTCTTACAGTTATATATTTCCAAGAAGCAAGATTACGGGAAGAGGGAATCCCAATCGGGTCTAGAAGGTCTTCGAAAGCAATAGAAGAAAGATGACTTAAACTTGTGTTCCTAAAAAGGACGAACTAAATAAAGCTGTTAGTAAAACCACCCTGCATAGGACAAGTGGGTAGCATTTTCTGTGGGGACTAAAGGTAGCCATAATCGGCTGCTCCCAAAAACAAGTGAGTCATAAATTGTCTACAGAGTCTTTTTCAGAGATGACCAACCACGACCGATGTTGCTAGGAACTATTCAAGATATTTATAGAGGTGATAGCTATTAAGGCTACACAATAGTCATTTTACGTAGAAGGTCGCAGCGGGGTTCGGCTGTTTTATACAGAACCTCCACACAAAATACAGGGTTGTCAAAATTAAGCATTTTTAATTTAGAAAACAGTAAAGTTCAGCTAATGTGTTTTAGAAAGAGCCAAATTTCATTCTCGACGCTTAGAACAAATACTAGATAGCGTCTAGTCTTTAGCTTCCAATTCGAGAGGTTGAATTTACGAGAAGAAACTTAAAATATCTTCAGTTTTATAGGGGACCTCCTCGCTATCACAAACGCTCGACCCCACGTATTTACTTACACTCCCTCTTCGCCGACCACTTTGATCCCAGCAAAGGAATCTACTACTACTTATATCAATTTACTTTGCCCTGTGCTCTTCGATGCTAGTGTACTACAGAAAGCTTACCGCGAGCTTGCCGACAGTTCAGTCCGCCGGAAGATTGTTGATGGCTCTTCAAACACGGAGCTGTGTCCTATCTGTCTTGAAAAATTTGTTTGCGCCCCAAATGAACAGCTCTTCCCCCTGCCATACGCAGGCCGAGATCTCCCCAGTGCAAATCGGATGGCATCAAACCCCACTCTGCAAAGTCCCTGCAACTTCTTCTATCGAGCGAGGGTCGGCCAGTACCGGGAGGTACAGGCCCAAAAGTTCGTCACAGGCACCTTCCTAGGCTTTCCGAGGCAGTAGCTTCTTCTGCCACTGCGAAAGAGATGAAAAAAAAGCGACAGGTTTGATGGTCTTGGAATCTCTAGCTTAATCCTTTTCCTCGCCTAAAAATAGTCAATGAAGCACTCCCAAAAGATGATAAATGGCCAGTATTTAAAGCCCAGATTTGTTTACCTCGCAGGTGATGCTTAACCCCTTCGATGCTCAATCCTTTCCTGCTCAGCCCTGCGCGCCGCACGTAGGGCATTCGCCTCCTTCGAGCTAACTAAAGCATCGAGTTCGAAGGTTGGTATGCGGTAAAGGCGACTGTGATCAATGGGTGTTTACTTGGAAGTAAACTCGTCACTTGTATCAAAGTAATCAAAGAGTAATGAGTAGAATGATAAACTAAGTTGAGCACGAAGCTCCTATCTAATGGCAGACGTGCCGGTATATATAGAACCTTCACGTTCCGGGAGCTTTCTTGGATCCTAGGATCCAAAGGCTCCATTGATTGATTGATTTATTCATACTCGGTTCCAGCCGCCCGCCGTAGGGCGGCTATGCCGGAGTGGTCCAGCTTCGGCGCAGCTGCCGAAGTACGCTTACCGCATNTGATTTGATTTATTCATACTCGGTTCCAGCCGCCCGCCGTAGGGCGGCTATGCCGGAGTGGTCCAGCTTCGGCGCAGCTGCCGAAGTACGCTTACCGCATTTGGCGAGCGTACTTCACTTCATCACTATATAGTGACCAGCAGCCTCCTCCACTGGACGGTCTGGCTTCTATCTACAACTATATACATAGCGTAAAAGAAGTGCTTTTCTTGATCTTTTGAAATATATCAGGTTCCTTGGCTGCCGCTTCTGCTAGCCATCTCATGTCCTTATACCNCTTGATCTTTTTAGAGTATATCAGGTTCCTTGGCTGCCGCTTCTGCTAGCCACCTCATGTCCTTATACCTTCAGTCTCCCCCCAGCGTTCCGCTTCGTCTCTTTGCACTGTACTGCAGCTCCTAAATTGCCCAAGGAGTTGCGTCTGTTCCATAAATCTTATTACCTTTATGGCTGTTTTCGACTCGGTCAAGATTGCCTTCAGGTCTAACCACCTTCCTCCCCCAAATTCCCTCTGTCGCAGGTCTTTGAATTTTCGACATCTTAATACGATATGTTCTACAGTTTGTCGTCCCTCCCCGCATTCACATCCTGGATCGTTATACCCAGGTACTTTCCTCTTCCAGAGGAAGTCTCTTAATCCAATCTTTTCTGTGCGCATCTGGATCAATAGAGAGCTTTGCCACTTCTTTAGCCTCCGATGGAGATGCAGGATCTTGTGTGTCGGCTTCTGAGTGTATTTGTATGTAGCTCTCCCTCTTGGTTCCAGGTCCCACTTGTATGCCCACTCTGCTCTCGTCTGCCTCATAATCCACGTCTTTAGGGTTGCTTGCAGGTGATATGTCTTGGGCTGGACGACGTTTGGGTTTCCCCGATTCCCCTCTGATTGTGATTTTGCTGCAAATTTAGCCGCCTTATCTGCTGCTTCATTGCCCCAAATGCCTATATGGGCCGGGATCCATCTTATCTCAACCTGGATTCCATGGTTCTTCTGTAGCTTGTCTATCAGGGTCCAAAGGCTCCAATGCAAGCTCCTGCAAGCTCAAACGATCATGTGACCTTCCTAGGCGAATCACGTGATTATGTACAAGAGAAATCCCTGGATCGCTTAGCTACCCTAACCGACCCCTATTTGCTATAAGAGCTGTGATGTGCTTGTCTGGTCAGAACGCCGTCCGGACTAACTCATCACGTGCGAACACGTGATTCGTGACAAAACGGTAGGAGGTGAAACACTCCTCGTTTTAGCACGGCTTCCCGAAACTCTTCTGGTCCCGTCTAATCCTTGTCCAGCTCTGTTGTGTCCTCCTGCACTCATATCACCTTCTGCTCGGTTGTTGATTTCTCATCATGCTTCGAAGGATTTCGTGTTCCAACCTGTGTTCATCAATTGTAAGTTTGTGGTCGTCGTCAGAAATTCTAAGGTATAAAATCCGATCCTGATATGTCCCATACGTCCCCCCCTGCGTAGCGATACACCCTATGTGCCGAGACAAATCGTAGGTACGTACTTCGAGTTCAAGCGTTATAAAATCTATGAACGCTCTAAAATTTCTATCTATTTTCATTTCAGTTACATTATATACCTCCCCTGGACACTTAGAGCCTATCAATTCAGAAAATTATTATCGCGTCGTCGCCGCACCTTGAATTTACAGAGAGCCTCCTTTTATACTATAAGAAGACCCCTTGATGTACGACACCACCATTGAGTTTTTCTCGCCTTTTAAACACATAGATTGATTGAATGTGGATAACCAACTTCTATTATAATGCTGAAATGCTATTGTCACTCTTGTGGGGATTAGGGCGTGGCCTGTTGCACGACGTCGCCACAAAGGATGATACCTCCTTCAATTAAGCGATCATGGATCCTGGTCAGTGACGGTGTGGTTATAGTATTCTTAGTAAAATTATATAATAAAATCTGTGGCTGCGACGCTTGTGGCTGCGCGTACCCTGCCGGGAAATTCCCGTGTGCCGACATCCTCTACTTTTTGCTCTGTGTGCCGGAAATATTAATAGGTACTTTGACTTTACGTATCTCAAACTTTGTACACACGTAGACTCACTTAGTGATTGAAACTAATCTGCAAATAGCTTAGCTCTGGAAACGATACGTTATTGATCATATAACGGTCGCTTAGTAAGCGTAGAAGGACGTTTCCATCTACAGTAGAAGCTTCTAGAATATTCCAAGTTGTACTTATATCTACCTTAAGAATAGTATATTAGGAACAGCTTCCCTAGACCTCTCTTTATCAAAGTTATTTAATAAATATAATATAATTACAAAGTAGAAAGAGACGAAGACTATCTAAAATATTTCTTTACATATTGTTTTTAACTTTTTTCAAGTTGTAGAATAGAAATACCCCCTGACGAATGTCCTATAACAATTGTGTCATTCCACACAGCTGCAGACACTAGACGATAATCTGGAGGAAGCCAAAGAATGTTTTCCTTGTCCTTCATTACCCAATTATCTAAAACTGTAAGGCTATGTAACGAGAAGGCCACGGAGTAGACGGTGCCGGAATGGCCCTCGAGCGTCTGCAGCGGCGTGCCTGTGCTGGCGTCCCAGAGCCGCACGGTCTGGCCGTCCGAGCCTGAGGCCACCACCTTGCCATCTGGCGAGAAGGCCACGGAGTTGACCCAATGGGAATGGCCCTCGAGCGTCTGCAGCGGCGTGCCTGTGCTGGCGTCCCAGAGCCGCACGGTCTGGCCGTCCGAGCCTGAGGCCACCACCTTGCCATCTGGCGAGAAGGCCACGGAGTTGACCCAATGGGAATGGCCCTCGAGCGTCTGCAGCGGCGTGCCTGTGCTGGCGTCCCAGAGCCGCACGGTCTGGTCGTCCGAGCCTGAGGCCACCACCTTGCCATCTGGCGAGAAGGCCACGGAGCTGACGCTGCTGGAATGGCCCTCGAGCGTCTGCAGCGGCGTGCCTGTGCTGGCGTCCCAGAGCCGCACGGTCTTGTCGTCCGAGCCTGAGGCCACCACCTTGCCATCTGGCGAGAAGGCCACGGAGAAGACCCTGTTGGAGTGGCCCTCGAGCGTCTGCAGCGGCGTGCCTGTGCTGGCGTCCCAGAGCCGCACTGTCTCGTCGTACGAGCCTGAGGCCACCACCTTGCCATCTGGCGAGAAGGCCACGGAGTTGACCCAATGGGAATGGCCCTCGAGCGTCTGCAGCGGCGTGCCTGTGCTGGCGTCCCAGAGCCGCACGGTCTTGTCGCCCGAGCCTGAGGCCACCACATTGCCATCTGGCGAGAAGGCCACGGAGTTGACCCAATGGGAATGGCCCTCGAGCGTCTGCAGCGTCGCGCTCCAACCTGGTCGCACTTTTGACTTCATTTGAATCAATGGTAGGATCTCTTTTTTGAATTGTCTCTTAACTATACTATTCTCTGGGGCAAAGATGAGGGCTGAACAGTATAGTTGAAGGGGTGCCTTTTCAATCACTGACTGGCTATGTAGGGTAAATCGTTTTATATCATTAACAAAGGAGCGTATTTCAGAACTCTTACCTGCCTAAGTAACAATTAGTTAGGTGACTTATTATATTAAAAGAGAATCCTTACCGAAACAAGCTCTTCCAAGGATAAAATTGCTTGAATTCCCTCTGAGGTCTTGCCCATCCACCCAAGCGCCTCAAGCCAGTGTAGTAGATGCTCTTGCAGAAACCGGTGTGCTTCATCGCCATTGCAAGCCTGAGACCCGCTCCTCTGTAGATGCTGGACCCAGTAGAGGCATGCGTATTGTACTTCGGGCGGAAGGCATTGCTGTAGACGACTGCTCTCGACTTGAGTGACTTGATACCCAGGAGCATGCAATTCGCATATGTCTTTCTCGAGTGTCTTGGACATCAGCTCTATGCAGCGAGTAGCTAATGTACCCTGTGCTTCCTTCTCATCTACCCAGAAATTCCTACATCGATCTTTGTTGAGAAGGAAGTCGCGAAACGAAGGGTGGTGTAGGCGGAGCTGGCGAGTCGGGTCGTTTGGAACCTCTAGGATAGCTTGCAGTTTCTCAAGTGTTCGTGTAACAACTCTTTCAGGGACGCTTAGCACCATTGCTAGTGAAGCAGCGGAAAGTGGAGATAACGAAACAACAATGCTTCCAAGAACCTTACGTCTTATTGCATATGCCTTCTCCTTTTCCAGTGCTCTATAAGTAGGAGGTATAGAGTTTTGGAGTACCGTGAGATATATTTCGTCGAGGTGCTGCTCTGGTGTGCCTTCTAAGCTAATGCGCTGAAGAATCCCATCAAGCCTATCTTCAGCAAACTCTCCGCCTTCTTCAACAAACCGACATGCTGTTGCCGCCCAAATGAAGAGGCCACAAGCGTAGAGAACCAGCTGTCTTAGAACTTCTCCGCCGGGCCAGTTAGCTCTAAGATCCCAGTCTTGCCTGATTTTCCCTAGATTGTGTTCTAGGAATAGAGAGATATCATGATTGACAATCGATGGCTGTATGTTGTGGAGCACAAATTCCTGGTGTTCGGCTTGTGGGTTATCGCGTATTCCGTGTCGAATAGGGACTTCAGGCCTGCTGGTAAGAAAGACTTGAAGTTGTACTGTCATCAACGACCGAGCTTCAGCTAGGAGCTGTAGGATAGTCTTGATATCTCTATCATGCTCACACTCATCAAGTGCATCGATAACAAGGATGTATGAAAGAGGTGATCCGCTCTGTAGCTCAAGTAGTGGATTGAGAATAAGCTGACGCCATTGCTCCGAGAGGGATAGGCTCGCAATATCACGCCGATTTGTAACAGCCTCAGAAATGTACTGTTGAAGAGGTGGCACATTGATACTGAGCTGGACGGCAAGACTTGTGAAGAACATGCCAGCGTGGCTCACATCTCCGCCGCCCCTTGAGAAGAAGAAGCTAGCTCCAAGACGCTTCTGCTCACTGTATCTGCGGGCGATAGTGCGGGAGATTGTTGACTTTCCCGTCCCAGCGAGGCCGTTTAGCCAGAAGATGCATCGCTCATCTTGTCTATCCTTTCCATCGGCCCAGTCGTATATCTCTTGTAGGACGGAGACGCGTGTATTATGGAGGCAGGCAGGTTCGTGTTGGCGGTGGTATGTGTTGAACGGCGCCTCATCAGCATACGGTAGCTGACGAAGTAGGTCTTTCTTAGAGCCTAAACTGCTAGTTAGCGCTAGACTTATCAAATGTGTTAGGCATTAATCGTAGGGATGAGACTTACCCTTCAATGGTTTGTCGATTGCTTCTCGGAGTCGCTGAAACGCCTTTACTTCTCCTTCGCCATAAAGAAGTGGCATCTGGATATCGAAAATGCCAAAAAGAGAATATGCCTTATCTTCCCCGCGTGTAGTTTGCCGACATTTTACCCACGAGAATCGTTCATCGACGTCGAATTGGGAGAGAGGGGTTTCTTGAAGCGCGGTGGTAGGGATTCCTGTAATCTCGTGGATTTGTCGTTCTAGAGTTCCCTTATCACCTAGTCGATTGTGTTCCCGGGAGAAGAATTCGACTGATCTTGGAGCAAGGAGTTCTTGTAAGGTCCAGCCTCGTGTAAACCATTTACTTGCTCGCAAAGCAGATTCCCAAGTATATTCGGTAGACGTATCGCTTACTTTC